GGGGATTCGTGCAAGAGGAATTGCTCATCGTACCCCATGACACGGTATTACTTCCCTCACTATTAGATATAAAATAGTAAATAAGAAATCCAGACTTCCATGAATTCATAACAGATCTCATCCATAACAAAATTGCTAACCAATACAATTACTGAGGGGAAAAAAAATATAGATGTATCATTACTGGTATACAATACTACTCACGATACGCCAAATGTTTTTATTTATTCCGTTTGTAAGGGGTCGCTGGAAGCCTAATTAGCCATAAATAACGCCATAAGCGGACCTGATGCAGAATCTCCATTGTGTATACTACTGAAGGCGGAAGAAAAATCAATACAGGGGATTCTTACATAGTTGTTACAAGTCTGCAGATGAGAGAAAATAGTATACATCGTTTGAGACTTCACTTCTTAAAATGATTAGGTAACTATCTTGACAATTGATATACTTGAAGAAACTTACAAAATCAAATGTATGGGTGTATTTTGATAGTGAAAAGAAAAAAATACCGTCTGTGCGGTACATCACTGCGTTATGCAGGGAGTGCAACCAGTACGATGAAAAAACATTTGTCATGTAAACATCCAAATACTGAATCCGACCGATAGGAAATGTACGTCACATGACGATATCAAGTCGGAATGAAATAAGTGTTATCTTGTATGATCGGAACTCACGTCGTGCCTTAAATTATAATATATGTGTATTACTCAGATATTAACTTCAATGTTGATCAAACAATCATCGAATTGTGTAATGTCGTGCCGGTTACGCTATTGTTTGCTTGAAAGGTATAAATTTCGAGTACTCGGGTCCGAGTCGAGTCTGACCCCTCGAAGACTCGAGTCCAAGAAAAAGGACTGATTGAAGCCCTTCTTGTCCACAATTGGATGGGTCGTGGTATACTGTTCCCAGTGGTTGTTGTTTTTGGCTGTTAGCCGTGACCGTAATATGGTGTTTTGGTGGTGTTATTCCTTTTGAATGCTACATCAACATATTGACCATATTGTCTAAGATACTGAAAACCAGAGATGAATTGGTGTTACCAGGTTTGGATATCAAATAAGTATAGGACACAATCCTAGCCATATCTGTGTACATACAAACAGAATACAGAAAACAAATGTAAAATGTTGTTGTATGATACTCAACAAGAATTAAATGTTCGACCCATTTGTACATTTTGTTTCCCAGAGCTCAACTTCATGAAAATGCCATTGTTTGTCACATGGTCTGTAATATGCTTGTAAGCACAGGTACAAGAGTCTTAGTAAATTGTGGCCGGTTAAAGGATTGTTCTATTTTGTTTTAACAGTCGTTCAAAGTTTTCATGTTTCAATTGCAAAATGTGTTTTTCTCTTCATTCAATATGAACCATTGCTGGTATAAGTTTTGAGCTTTGTTGATGTTTGCTTTAGCATAGTCATTTCAATATTTTAGCAAAATTAGGTTTCATAATGTAGATACTGAATTCTGAACCTATAAGGGTGGTCTTATATTATTTTCAGTCCAGTCCTTGACCTTTGTGCTTGAAGGTGCTGATCCACCTGTGTTTATGAGTCAGAACAACAGGTATAAGCATTCTTTGAAAGCAATATCAAGTTACATAATGGTCTGTGTAACACTAATTGTTGTGGACAATTATCAGAGATATGTCAAGATAGTGACAAATATGACCAGCAAAGCAGATTATATCCATGAGAATTGCCGACCTAAGCAGATACCTAGTCGTTCATCTGCTTTCAAATGCAGTCAGAACAGGCAAGCAAAGGGACTGCCGGGAGACTACGGGAAGGATAGACCAGCAGAAAGCAAGCCAGAGACAAGGTGATGAACACTGAGCAGCCAATCCAGCCCGTCAACCTGACTTTGACGCCTTCCTCTGTACGCATTTGTCGGACCCTGTGTAAACCGTTCGCCCTACCTCACAAGATGTACTGCGAGAATAACAACATTCATTCTTTGTACGCCACTACGACGCATTTTGTTTGAAGAGTGCCAGAGGTGTTACACATTGCAATGCATTGTAATGCATTTATGTGACACCATGGAAATACTCTGAATCCCATGTATCTTAACATATTCTGGCCTGAAATGGTGTTTTTCAGAAAGTAAAGTGTGTTAGTTGTCTTCTGATAGGTCCCATTTACTTTATATTCAAAATATTTAGAGCCATTTCAAATTCAGCCAGTCACATCACATCATCCATTAGATAGTAAAGAGCTCAAAGAAATGTTAATTGGTTATGTAAAAGAATCAACATATGCCGGTGTCCCATATGATTTATATGGAGATTATAACACGCTATATAAAGCATTTAATGCGATTTATGTACAATTTGTAATGTATCATAAATTACCACTCATATGTACCTCATTTCAACACAAACGACAAACTCCTTTCCCCTTCCGTGCGAAATCACTGCTGAAAGTATAGTCGAAGCAAACAATCGAGTCTGGACCAGACAATCCAGTGATTGAACCATGAGATACGATGCCAAACCATGTGTGTATGAATCACGTATCAAGTAGGGATGATACCAGGTGTTCGCCTAAAGGTAAGCGTATCCTTCCCCATCGATGGCAAATGTCACAAACACATGCAAAGCCTTTTCACTTGTTCAGCTCAAAATATTCGGATACGTGTGGTAAAAATCAAAGTACTGAATCAGACATAATATTTGTCACTGATGCATCAAATTTTTAGATTAACTTTGACATTTTTCTGAGTCTTGAAAGTTGTAGTATTGATCGAAACACTTCTGTAAACAACAAGGGCTGTAGCTGTTTAAATATTACTCGACTTGAAAAAAAAATTACTATTGGAAAGTTGAAATCATTCCGTTTGTTTGTACAGCCTTCTTATCACTCTGAATCTTTATATGCATAGATCTAAATCTGAAATAGTTGAGTCTGTTTCACTTGTCTCCTTAATTTCAAGTCCAGGTGGGTAAGTCAGTGGAAGGTAATTGGTTATTTCATGGTTCGTAAACGATATTAGATCATCGATATACATGAAGCTTAAGTTAAATTACCTTGTTTTGATTTCTTATTCATATGCACAAAGAAACAGATCCGTAAGGAGGGGAGCACAGTTGGTAGCCATGTGGATGCTTACTTCTTGCCTGAACGTTTTCCACAAACATTTTATAAAGATGTTATCACTGAGTAAGTCCAGCATTTCACGTGTTGTTTACTTAACTTGTCATTTTCTTTCCATGAATGGTATTGTCATTAATTCCATACAAAGCCACGAACATTTAGGTCTTATACTTCAGCAGGATTGCTCATGGAATGAACACATTAACCACTGTGCTAACAATAAGTTGCTCCAATGGTGAATTGTCTAAAAAGTCTCAAATATCGTTTAAACAGAAAAAACACATTAGAATCCATGTACAAACAGTTCATATTACCATTTTTTTTATTATTGCAGTTATATATTGAATAATTGTACTAAACAGCAAGCAGATATACTTGAAAAGCTCAATCTTGATGCTCTAGGAACCGTGTGTGGTGCTGTTCGTGATACCAGCCATCATAAAATATACAAAGAAACTAATTGTTACCCGTTGTGTCGTAGACGGTACCTTCATAAAATGACTATTGTTTACAAAACGGTTAAGTTATCTTAGAAGCCTTGTTCCGCCTAGAGTATCAGATTATTCGCTGGTTATTATCTTCGCGATAATTCAACTTTTCAGACTATAAACTGTAAATCTGTAAATTATGCGAGGTCCTTTCTTCCACATACTGTTAAATTGTGCAATTCATTACCAACCGAACATAGAGAATCATCGTGCCTATCGAGATTCAAAAATGTAATTTTAAATGATTCTAATAGCTACGGTCATTTTAAATTTCGGTAGCAGATTTTGTTAAATCATACATTATCGTCTCCGACTTGAATGTTGTGGCCTTAAGCGCACAAATATGACAGATTTATGTCTGCAACATCATCTCGCTCTTGTGGCCACAACTATAAAGACTCAGCTCATTTTTTTTCATGTACTCTTTACAACGATATACGTCATATTATGTATTTTTATTCTAAAGGATTTGACCTAAAATCAATTTTGTTTGGAAACCAAAGCTGTTCCTCAATAGTAAACAACGAACTTTTAATTTAAGTGCACTCGTTTATAAAGTTAACAGGCAGATTTGATCCAAAATAATTTGTTTATATGACATGATGGGCGTTATATCTCGTTTTTGCAACATTTATATATCATTCACATTGTACATTCATCATGTCATGTTTACTCTTACTTCCATTGTATCCCGGAGCGGTATTCATATAAGCATATGTTTGTTTACCAATCCGGTTCCTTTCATTGGAAATATATATGTTTAAATCAATTTCTGAAGCTAGATACGTATGTGTATCTTTCTCCACTACGTTTATGTACAAATGCCTATCAAGGAAGGAAGTTTTTTCTTAAAGTTTTGATGTGGGATAGTGGTTTTCAAAGTGAAAAACATTAAATATTTTTACGGAACTAAACTGTCCGTTTCTGAGATTGTAACAATTTCAACAAAATCCTTTGAGATTTTGAGAGTGCGCATATTATTAATTCCGTTTGTCTCAAATACCTTCTGTGAATATAGAGAAAATCCTTGTTTACTAGTATTAAGGATTATGGTTCATCTTGAGACAGGGATTTGGGGATACATTTGCTGGGACCAGCAATATATCTCTCCTTGTACGGATCTATAATGGTTTCTGAGAATATCTGTCCCCATTGGGGATAACGTGCACTCAGTCAAGAAACGCATGACAAAGGCCATAATTGTGTAACAAATTGTAACACGGTTTCCGTTTTCTAACTCCATCAAGGCATTCATGTCCTGAAAACACATACAAAATGTGGTTTACCTACATCTAACGTTGTTTTGTTGAGAAAATCTGTTCCCATCATCTTGCACGGAAGGACGGACGGAGCTCAGACCTATATCCCCCTTCGACTTCGTGACGGGGGATAAAAATTTAGCCAAACCAAATGTTAAGTATTTATTTACAAACAATACATCAACTGTATGACTATATGCAGTTACAACGCGTGCGTTGTTTTCTTGTAAACAATCCAATAACCGTGCAAATATATTAATTTTGATTTTCTCATAAACATGACCTTGAAGATGGTTGTCATGAAAACAGGTACATGGCGTCTCACGACATCAGTTGACACGTCAATGCGGAGCTGCATATAACCGTCCATCGTCGGCGAGGTCGTTACTGAACTTTGTAGACCTCACTGAAGAATTCCTTGATGAAATCGTTGATGATAGCCTTGTCCGGCACTGATGCCATCATACCATACATACCTGCAGTGCCTTTCTTGGACAGAGACTTGTTGTTCTGAAATAACGGAGGTTATAGTATGTTTGGGTCAAAATGATTCCGATGAATCACAATCTAACTCCACATCGGTTCATGATCAAACAGTCAATATATGTTCAAAGCAGAATGTAGTGAATACATCAGACTTACTCTGGAAAAAAGTTTCATAACGTTTGTCTCCAAAATATAAAAGTTACTTAACACACTATAATCATTTTGTTTTGATTTTCCGTGTGACGTTTTACGAGGGTGAAGTAACAGTAAACTGTTGCAGGAACAGCCTCAAGGGCGGGAAGCACGTTCAGCTTTGGATGTAAACATTTAGGGTTGTATCAAAACTCTTTGATGACAATGGTGGCATAAGTTAAAGTTACCCCATTGGCACACGAGAGGTTAGTCTAGTTACAACACGGCTTGTCCTGCCTGTTGATTGACAGGCGTAGGGCACGAGGGCGTAGCCCGAGGTGCCATAACGCCTCTCAATCAAAATCCAGGACAAATCGTGTTGTAACTAGAGGAACCTCGAGTCGTGGGTGGGGTAACAGACTTGTACCATGAGATTTCGGCGGTGTGTTTAAAACAAAGTGGCGGGGAAATGAATGCACCATATGACGTCATGAATATCACGTCATACGCGCCATCTTAGGTCGTTCAAGTTTTCAAAAATTAAGTCTCAACCATGGAGGACGTGGAAACAACTTTCATACCCAACAGTGATAGCGTGAATGAGTGGAATGATGAAATTGATGATATTACAGTTTCCCAAGTTGGTGAGGCGATGGAGTTGGATTTAAAGTTTGAGGACCTAACTTTATCCCAGTCTTTGAACATTTACGAAGTGAGTGGAAGCGACCAAATTTACATGGATGTTGGATTATTTGATCTTCAATTCGACCCGTTTTCTGAAGAAAATAGGCCTGATGACATTACTAATCCTGTTGACCCACACGCTCAAACTGAACGATTTGCGAAAATCGTATCAGAAGACGATATTTTGCAACGCATATAGCTGATGCTGAAAGTAAGAACACTCGAAATAACACGAAGTGAGCGATGCGTGTTTTCGACCAATGGTGAGGATCCCGACAAGATATTTGTGTGCCAGAGATCAAAGACTTTACATTCGCCGATGAAAACAACTATCTGTCCAGGTTTGTGTTGGAAGCATGAAAGGTAGATGGTTCATAATATCCCCCCAAAACCCTCTATCTGTTAGGTGCCGGTTTGCTACGTCGCATGCGGGAAATGGGAAACATCGGCTTTAACTTTTTGGATACGAAAAATCTAGCGTGTCAGCGTTTCCGACAAGTTCTGAGTGCTGAGATGCTAAGATTAACAGCAAAAGGAATCGGCACGACTGTTAAACAAGCTGAACCCATGGGATAAAGAATTGCTTGGGGATAAAACCAGCCAAAGTCTCCTGAACACAGTGTTCTTCTACAACTGTAAACTTTTCGGACTCCGAGCCTGTGGTGTACATAGAAGCCTACAAGCTAATCAAATTTTGGTCGGGACTGATCAGATAGGACCACATATCGAATTTCGTGGAACTACAGCCAGAAATTACACTGGAGGTTTGGCACACCGGGCACTAGAGGGAACCACTCCACTGCAGACTTACCACGCCTGTATGAACTGTATCTATCCAAGATTGACAACAGTGGGCCTACGGTTTCCTAGGTTTACAGTTATGACGTCACAATGCTAATACCTCTGTCACAATGGTATTAGGCCTTGCTTGACTCGCGGAAAGCTGAGAGTCACACTGTAGGCAGTTTCTATCAATTTCTGTTGGAGAGTAATAAACAGAATACTAAACTCGCTTCCGTGAAATACCATTTCTATTGAACTCGTGAAAGATTTAACTCGTTTCATAAAAATGGTATTACACGGAAGGTCGTTTAGTATCCTCTATTATGTACACAGTCTTGCCAGATTGTTGGTGTTATTTTACTTATGGCTCTGTGTACTTCATTTTGAACGTCCGAAAGTTTAAAAGTGGTATTCAGTTATATTTATTTCCGGTACTGAAAGGCCACAGGCCTGTAGTACAATGCATTTATAAATCAATATTTACACGCACGGATAATATACATGAAGAAGGGAAAATAATAGGTTACATTGTGTTCTGAGATATATTCTGTCCTAAACAACATGGCATAGTAAGCAAACATGGACAAGTTTTGAACTATAGTATGGGTTTTGTTATTCAACAATGCTGAGAATTTATAAAGGTTTGGATGGGCACAATAATATTTCTTAATATACAAATTTCTGATGGAATTATAAGCAGGGCAAAATAATAGAAAATGATATTCATCTTCTATTTGGTTAAGATCACATAGTTTGCAAGTACTATTTTCTTTTTTGACATTTTTAAATCTTCCACTTTCGATAGATAAATCATGTGAAGAACATCTCAATCTGCTTAACGCTATCCTATACTTTTTTACGTTTAGACATGAAAGATAAGTTTCATAGTCAAATAGTTGTTGCGACCTACATCGGATTTTATGATACCCCAGATAAGTTCTATTGGATTGAAATCGCAATGGCAAGGCGATAAACGTAAAGTTTCATGGACATGAGCTTTGTATGGTGGATCATTCGGGCCATCGCTTTATCGCCCTGAAGAAATCTAGGCGATATCGCGACAAAGCGATAACACGACACGATATTGCGATATGGCGACACGATATAGCGATATTGCGATACAGACAAAAACGAAATAGCGATAGCACGACACGAAATGACGATAACAAGACACGATATAGCGATAACGCAACACGAAATGGCAACAACTCGACACGACATTGCGATAACAAGACACGAAATGGCGATAACACGACACGAAATGGCGATAACACGACACAAAATGGCGATAAAAAGACGCGACATTGCGATATGGCGATAACGCGAAAAGGCGATATTGCGATATGGCGACGCGATATTGCGATACAGCGACATTGCGATATGGCGATACAGCGACATTGCGATATGGCGATATGTAGAAAAGCGGGTAAGTTGATTCATTCTTAGGATTCGATAATAAGATAGCGGGAAGTATGTGAGATAAAGATGCACTTGATGCCTGGAATAGATATATAAAGGGATATGTAGTGAATCATATCAACATAAACGAAATTGTTATGCAACTTCTCTGGTTAAATGGCCAGTTTCGCAACACATATTTGATAATCAATAACTGATTCAAACAAGGAATTGTTAATATTAAAGACATTTTCAATGACTAAGGGTACTCTCATTTGCAGAACTTAAAACAAAATATCAAGGGAATATCAAGGGTGTGAAACCAAGTTTCACCACATATAAAGGGTTATTAAAAGATGTATATGACATTGAGAAATATATTGCCAGAAACAATTTCAATATGAATTTATTTGAGAGAAAATGGATTAGGCTCCAAAATGTTCTGTGATTATGACAATGAAATAGTTCTACTCAAGTGTATCTGCGTTTGTTCCCCAGTGAAATTGAAACAAAGTGACATGCCATTTCTCATAATATATCATTACAAAACTATGTCCACGGATTGTTTCATACAAAGTGTATCCAAGTGAAGTGAATAAAAAAATGTGAAAAAATAGTATGTGAGATAAACGCATTCGTAAAACTGTCCATTCTATTGAAATAGCTCATCCAAAAGCACAATGAGAGATGACATATTCCAAACTGTGATACTTGTCCATGTCAAGATCCTGAGAATTCTGTAATCTATAAGAGTTCATCAGAATAGATTGGGTTCTTACGGTGCCTGATCGATCTGCCTAATCTTATGGGAAATCGATCTCTAAAGGGTCTACTTTTAAGAATGGTGGTTGCTTATCAAGAAAGGAAACTATCATTATAAACGAAAAGTTCTAGAATACTTCTCTTCTTCTATCTATTAATAAGTAAACAATACATTGCACACCAAAATAATTTCAGTAGGTACAGTGGAAGCTGTATAATCCGACACTCACTGGGACCGGGGGAACATGTCGGATTATACAGCGTATCGGATAATTCACTGTCTCGTTGCTTGAATACTTTTCAAACAGTACCATACATTGTAACTGGCTTCATGAAATTAATGTTTGGTAGCTATTTACTTGGTGAATAAGGGAAAAAACAAAATCAGTATTTACATACACATGTATCATTGGTATTTATTCTCTTCAGTACAATGTACATACCATGCGGACTACCCAATCACAATCATATTCACACTTTCATGAAAAAAGTCCTCCATTGTAGCCATAGACAGGTTGATTGGCTATTTTAGTCTAATATGGGAGAGGATGTCGGATTGTACAGCGTGATTCAATATTAATATGATGATAATATAGAAGAACGCTGCCGGGGCCCAAAAATATATGTCGGAATACACAGATTGTCGGATAATTCAGAGTCCATTGTATAGTAAATCAATCTCAGAGTTTTTTGACAATTATCGTTGGCAATTTGGCGGGATGTAGGTTTTAAAGGAGAGTATAGATACGTTCGTGTATTTCTGAGTTAAGTCACCCGTGAAAATCCGGGATAGAATTCATCTTCAGTAACCCAATCTTGTCTTAAGAGGCGAATAACGGGATCGGGTGGTCAGGCTCGCTGGCTTGGGTGACACATGTCATCGGTTCCCAATTGCGCAGATCGATGCTCATGCTGTCTGGTCCAGACTCGATTATTTACAGACCGCCACCATATAGCTGGAATAGTGCTGAGTGCGGTGTAAAACAAAATTCACTCACTAAGTTAAGTAAAAGTACTATATCTAAATCTTTACAGTGCAGTTAAAAGCAAAGCCATGTGTAAGCCAGCAGCAAATGGCCGGTTGGCCACGGAAGCTTAATATTGTGGATGAGGTACTGGGTACTGCAGACTGACCATACATGTGCTGTACATACGATACAAAGATGCCTAAAAGTGAGAATATATGTAGAATTCTGGTTTTCAAGGGGACTGGACCCTCATAAAACGGCAAGGCAGGTGGACTGATGATCCCCTCTGAGATGCTA